GGCTTAAAACACCCCGGCGGTTCTCTGCGGTGGTCTCCTTCCACCTCAGCGTGACGACTGGAGGAGCCCGGCAGGGTGACAGGAGCCAGCAGAGCTGCCTGCTGAGGAACAGACCTGCTGCCCATGGGCGGGAGGGAACAAGGGACAAGGACGCACCACGCGGCACGGCCGTGGGCACAGCTCTCCTTACTGGGGGTATCTGGGCTCACCTAGACTGGGAGAGGCTTGGGTGAGAGAATGTCAGGAGCGTCCTCACCCCCAACGAGCAGGGGAGCTGGTGCTGCCCCTGGCAGGGGGCCACGGGGTGCCCTGGCACGGGCCCGGCCAGCGCCGGGAGCAGAACAAGCCGCAGAGCTGCCTAAGCGAGGAGAGGAAACAGCAATCCCCCAACCCGGTTTTCATCTTGATTTTGTTTGATCCGAGTCTTGCTTTACCACAGGCGTTTTAATGCTGCTTTATGTTGATAAAAGAAAGCCTTGAGGTCGTTACATCATCACGGCCATACCCCTCACGTCCTGCTTCTCCCCAGTGCTTCTGACCACCCACGAGGCATCTGCAATCTCATTTTCCCAACCTGGAAACAGGCAGCTGACTCCTAGAGTTAGGAAGAAACTCATGGAATAAACAGAGTGGATTTGATCCAGCCGAATCTTCACTTGAGCCAAAATATCAGTAAATTTTTGGAAAGCGACTTTATCGCATATTGAAAGGAAATAGTCAGGAGGCCATATGCATCCGAGAAGCACCAAGACACGCAGATGACTACCAAAGCCGCTCTGGAGGAATCTGAAGAACTTAATAACCACAGCTGCTATAACAGGGGAGCTGGTGCTGCCGTTATCCCAAGTATCTTGAAGTTATCCCAAGTCTTGACGGGGCTGCACGGCCAAAATCCCTTCTCCCCCGAAGCAAAAACCGACCCGATGGCAGCTGCTGGTACAACGGTCTCTGCAAGCGCTCGATCACAGAGCTGATCCTTTCCCACTCGTCACGAGCCGGACTCGGCTGCAGCAGGGGTTTCCCCCGCCCCCGGCTTGCCCTGCGCTGCTGCCTCCTTCCAAACGTTCCGGGCCCAGGGCGTTTATGCCAGCACACTCCGCAGCAAGGCCGATTCCCAACGGAAGGGCTGTTTCTCCCTCAAGTGACAACACAAGCAGGAAAGAAAACCAAGCTCCAGCAATCCACAGGTTTTCTGGGGCCTGCGGCTTTTTTTCTTCGTTAAAGCATCGTCACAGAGTGCTGAAACGTTGGTGGTTCTTCAGCTCTTCGAAGCCGCCATCGCTGAGAGCTTCTCAAGACAAGCAGCACAGCGGGATGACTTTGCAGAGGGAGTTTCATTTCCCCTGCCCAGAGCAGCGCTGAGCGGGGGGAGAAGTCTTAAGTAAAGCCCAAGCCATCAGCAGCGCCTCAATGGGAACGGGCTCGTTCAAATCCAAGAGATCAGGGGTCTCGGGGTGCTCAGAGGCGCCCAGAGGAACGGGCACAGCACACCAGTACCTGACTGAGGCTCCCCAGGCATTTTTTAGAAGTCACAAGAGCCAGACACCGAGGGGAGGAACCACGTTAGCACAAAATTGTGCAGAACTGGGTGAGAAAGCAGGAGCTTGCTAGGCACAACGCGCAGCCAGGGTCTCCAGTGCTCTTCCCAGCAGGCAGCGAGGATTCCCTCGAAAAAGGGACGCTTTCACCACAAGACACTGGCCCACCCCCAATATTTACAGCCTATTATTGGTTGGGGCTGGAAGGAGAAAGTGCTGGGTTCAGGTCCTTGCTCCCAAAGAGGTGGGGGAAGGATCTGAACCACGATCTCTCAGAGAAGGAAGGGGTTTTCAGTCCCCTCGCCGCACTGCGGGAACGCCGATGGCACGGGTCCGCCTCACTCGGGAGGCGGAGAAACATTCCGGTTCGGAGCCCAGCAAAGGGTTACTGCAAGCCAGGAGTCTCGATGCCACGGTGCGAAGGTTCCGAGAGCTGCACTTATGCTCTCGAAACAAACCCTGACCGGTGCCAGGAGAGAGGGGAAAAGGGCGCTTCAAGGTATCAAAAATACCCAGAAATTGCCTCAAGTTATAACTAGACAGCAGAGCCTCTGCACTGTGAGTGAGCCAAAGGTCTTCTGTATCTTAACAGTTTGACCATTTTCCCCTAAAATAGGGAAGCATTACGGCTAACACCTACTAAACTCTCCATTACGCTTTCCCAGCGCCCAGAATTCTTATCCTTTAGAGAAACTTGTTGAAACAAAGGCTAACATGACCTGGGTTTGCTATCACTGCCTGCTTTCCTCAACAAAAACGACTGGCCTTTAGTCAGCTTGATTTAGCTGCAGTGCCAGATGTAAGCAGCAAACCGTAACAAAACACACCACAGTGATTTCGGTGCAAAACTGTACTGATAATCAACAGATTTTCACAGTAAATTTCAAATAGCAGATCACAAACGGTTATTCCTCTACTACTATGAAAGCGTTTTGCCCGCTTACTTTCATTTTCGCACCGAAACACTGGAGGATATTTGCACAGTTTCCTACTCAGCTTCTGGGCAACAGGACCTAAGAACTTACAAGCGTTACTGGATGTTCTTCTCAAGCTTGAAGCCAGTTGCTTTGGCAATGAAGAAGAGGTTCATTATTAAAATTGCACTGAGAATGTGTAAGTGTTCTTGATTTTAAGAACTGTGACAGTTATTTGTCAATCGTTCCTTAAGGAGTCCTCAAGACAAGGTGCCACTAAGCCCCTGGCTACCACTCTTCCTCACTTCTCTCACATCATGTTAGCATAAACCAGCATTTACTTCTTCACAGAAGAGTTTGAGAATTACGACAATATTCCTATTACCACCAGCACCACTGTAACAGAAGGCTAAAGGATACTGGAAAAGACAGGTTTTTATTCCTCTGAACAATGTAAATTCTGTTCAGTCTGAATCAATTAAATGGTTTGGGGTTTGTTTATTCATTAGTTTCACGTTTTGTTTTTCACTTCTCTCAGCCTACTAGGTATAAAGAAATTCCTGATAAACTTAATTGTTTAAATTCTCTTCAGTTTGTTTCTCAAGTCTCCAGAGAAGTGCCAACAAGAGCCTGCAAAACAGAGGCTGAACTATCTGAAACTACATTGTCTGGATGTGTCCAAGACCTAAATAAAGAAACGCAGCTGCAGCCACAACCGAGCAGTATTTCTAGGAAACAAGCCCTCCCACAGGTTACAGGAACTCAGTGTGTTGCCGGTGAGTAAGTGTAGCGGTGGATTTTAGGCCAATTTAAACCTTTACGGGCTGCTGGCAAGCCCAGCAGCCCCAGGAAGGAATAAAACCCATTCAAATTCTAGTTACTAGAAGCAGCTAAAAAAAAAATGAGAGGATTTTTTAACGTAAGTCACTGAACTTCATACCCAGTCTGAATTTGCAACCACAGACTGACCTGCTCATTGCTGTAAAACTCAGTTTCCCCCCTATTCTCCTTATGAAAAAGTACATGATTCATAATTATTGAAACATACCTGGATTTTTTTAATTGCTTTTCTATTTAATGTTACTCTTCTGCAGAGCTGTACCCACTAGGAAATGTAAGTTGTTTCATTATGCTGATGCAAACCTTTTCTTGGAGGAGACTCCCTGTTCCTATAGCACCGTTTCTTTGAAAAAAAATGACTTTTGACTACCACTTAATTTTTAATTCAATTTCTTAAATAGAAATATAGATTTCAGCCCGTATTCAAAATTCTTAATTGTGGAGGAAAATGCGTGTGTCTTTTAAAAGGGAGTAAGACAGACATTACGAAGTTATCACCCTAAAAATATCACATCTCTTATGAGCACGTGGTACCGTTCTCACCAGCGCCCTGAAGTAAATCACACCCTGCACTCGCCGATGGCCCGTTCTGCAGGTCACGTGACCTGCAAGAAGCATGGGATGACTTTAAGGAACACCTAACGCAACGCAAACGGATGCAACAACCAGCTGGTACAAACCCCCCCCGCGCGCTGTCAGCAACAGTTCTTCCCCAACTCCCAAACAGCTGCCAGCTACAGCTCTACCTTCAGCCGCCACAACCCGGCTGGGCTCCTTCCCGGCTGCGGTGTGAAACGCAGAGGGACAACAAACCCAAACTCACTTCACGGGAGCCCGGGCGTAGACCTGCAGCCAGTCCGGAATCTCCGCCGTGTGGTAGGGGTTCGCGGGGACGAGGAGAGGCTGGCTTCTCTCGGCTTGCTGCGGCTGGTAAGTCACCGGGGGAGGCTGGTCGTAACGGGGAACGCTGCACCAAGGGAGACACAGAGCCCGTAACCTCCAAGCAGTAACTCACAGACGTAGTGACATCATCAAACTGTTAATGTTAATACACAGATGAATACGTGCAAAGGAGGATGATGCAACCGCACACGGAGCGTTGCCTCAGCAGGCCTCCGCTGGGAGCAGCTTTCTGTCGCTGGTTTTGTGCTCACTCCCAGCCCGGCTGCACGTGTGGCAGCTCTCCCTTAGCACCCTGTCAAACCCCCCGCAGGCCCAGCCACCTACTGCCTGCTTCTCGGACACTAGAGCAGAACAAAAACTGGCATCGGTTTTAAAGACATTCCAAAGGCAAGTACTGGTTCAGCCAAATAATCCACCATTTAACACACTAGAGCGAATGTATCCGGCAGCAGCTGGTAAGAGTCACGCCATTTATAACACAGGGCACCCACGTGTGTTTATCTTTTGTGCCACACGTTAAAGATTTCTCTTCCTGGGTAACACCTGAGCAGCAGAAATTAACTGTTAGACTTGGTGTGTACTAACATTATTTTACCTTTAGGTGACAAGTGGCTAAAAATACCAATTTTCACTCTGGACGAGACTTAACTCATCCTTCAGACGGTAAGGGCTCTTTGTTCGCTCTCCTGGAGCATCAGATCAAGTCTCTTTCCAGTCTACAATTCAATTCTGTTCTGTTCTCAGCAACTTTGTTGGTTTACTGACAGTTGAAGAGAACAGCTGCTTTGTTTTAGTGAGTTAGGAATAATATCCTGTTTCTAAACTTAAGGCAGTGAGAGATGAGACAAAAAAAAACACTAACAATTACAACTGCTTCGAAAAATCTTAGTCAAGAACCAGTAAAGCTTACTTCTAAAAATAAGACATTTTTGGCATGTTGTATATAAGACAAAACCAGTTCCACTTTCTTAACTGGATCAAGCAAAAAACCAAAAAACAATCACAGAAGAGAAGGCGGATGCCTTACCTGGGAGCACAAGGATGTTTGTACTGAGCTCTTTTGTTGATGTGATCTACATAATACACTCCGAATTCTGCCGACTCGACTCTCTCCCATCCCGGAGGCAGTCCCTCGCGCTCGAGCGGGTGGCTCCAGTGAGTAGTGTTAGTGTTATGATCTATATAGTATTTCCTTCCTCTGATAGTCCAGTCCACTGACCAGCCAGGAGGAAGAGGTAAATCTTCAGAACTATGATTTGTTAAGTTTCCTAGAGATGTAGCAGCAACTCTACCGATGCCTAAAAAAAAGGGAAAGCAAGGTTTAGCTAAACTGGCAAGACCCAAACCCAACGTTATGTACTCAGGCAACCTCCCCCCCACCACACGAGGCACTCCATGAAATCTGAACGACACCACGGCATTTATGGCTTCTGTGTTAGTAAAAAGGTGCGACCAAGCCAAAACAGTGACTGCCTGTGAAGGCACAGTCGGTTTGCTCTCCTCCAACTCCACGTTCCCGAGACAGCCTCACTCAGAGGCCGTTGCAGCACCCCTGCTCTTTCAGTCAGACACATTTCAGCGTACCTAGCAGGGAGGAAGCTGCTCTTACTGCCTCACTTTGCGGAGCCGAGCGAGCTGACCTAAGACTGCAAACATCACAAGTTTCACATAAATGAGTTTCCGTTAATATGCCACTACAGCTGCATCAAAACTCTTTACCCCACAGCTACTTCTTTCTCTAGTTACAGTCAGAAAATTACAACTGTCTAGAAAACCCACTGAATATCACATAGATTTTCAGATTAACCAGTCAAGAACAGCGACAGGACCAGGCAAAGCAAGAGGAGGGACAGGTAAGGTCAGCCCTATCCTGCACCGCCCGTTGTAACCCACGTGCGCGTGGTCACGGCCAAAAAGCGGCACCAGAAACGCGAGAAAACAGCAAAGCTGGATCCACACGGGATCCTGCACAAGCCCATGTCCTGCACACAGGGAAGCTGCTGTTGCCCTGTCTTTCCTAGAGCTACCCACACTGGTCAGACTGGCTGGTTTATGGGTGCTGCTGGCGGGGCCAGCCAGGCGTTCTGAAGGCAACCCGGACAAGATTGAGAGACCTTTTGTTCAGAGCGAGTCACAAAATCTCCTCATCTCTTCTCTGCATCCCGCTCCTCCCTCCCACAGATCTTGGAAGGAAGCTCCGGTGTCCGGTAGGCTGCCCATCTGCTTCTCTGTCTCTTGCTCTTCTCCGAAACCAAGCACCTACGCTTCCCAATGCTGAAGAGGCACGTGAAAAAAAATAATTTCCAGCTGTTCTTGGCGATGTGGGCTGCCCTGGGAGGGCTTCTAGAGAACTAAAGCCTACGTGAGTACATATTGGCAGTAGCTGACAGGAATCAGTTGCTGATTAAGCTCCCACCTCTGCCCTAGGAACACGGCACATTTGGGATTTATCACTAAACAGCTGATTTAAGAGACTGTTCACAGCACATTAAAGTATGTGGTTTGGTGTGACAGGCACACAGGTATTAATTAGCGCGCTGGATGCTGAGTGATGTAGTGAAGAAACATAATTCCAATTCAGTCTTTTCCTTCCCTCTATATACTATGGACACATAGGAAGGTAGTGGAAATAAAAGCCATAATAATAATAAAATAACCCCAAACCCAAAATCCAACCCAAAACCCCAACCACAAAAAAACAAGCGCCCTGACCAAGAGTTCTGCAGGTCTCTTCCCACTCCTTGGAAGCCCACCACGTGCTGGCCCGAATTCCACTCTCTTTAAAATCCTTTTAAGCAGTTATCTTCAGTTACCCACAGTTCTACAGGCAAACAGTGTCTGGCTTTAAAGAAACACCAGTTATCTTTTCACCCCACAGTCAAATGCATCTGTTCCAGCACAGCCTCCATCCGTGTTACACCTTCCAGCAGCCAGAAGAAGGGGCACAGGAGCCACTTTTTCCATTTTTTTAGAAGTCGGGAAGTGACTCCATCAGGCACCACACTGAGGGAGCCACCCCTGCCCTCCTGTTTTTCAGAAGTAGCTTTTTTTTGTGATTATTTTCTGGGACAGTGGTATGGAAAGCAGAGCCTCCCTCATCTAAAGCACACTATTCAGAAGAGGTTTCAGGTGAGGTCACTGTCTCAAAAAGACAACAAAAGCAATAGTGAAGTGGCAGCAATTGTACATTTCTTGGGCCATTTCACACTCATTTGCTGACAAAGGCAGCTCTCCTTTTCAGCAGTACACACACAACACAGCACGCTAGCCGAGGGACCTCATCTATTTTAAGCATTATTTTACACACAAAATGACATCGACTGAAAACAGGAAGGGCTGTCATTCTAATACCAGACAGCAGTCATCAGTAACTGAGTACAGGGAAGGCTCCAAAGCAACTGAATAAATAATAAATAAGTAAAAACCTCACAAACTTCCTCCCAAGCGCTGCTCTTTAAAGCATCTGCGCTCACCCACAAATCTTTTTCTAGCCTTGGCCTTCAAGTGTTTCCCCCTGCTCAAGCGCTTACCTACGTGCTCGCTCTACAAAGAGGAGCTGATGGCTGCGCTCTCGTGGCAGCTCCCCTCGCTCCCCAGGATTAAGCAACCCAGACCTTTACTTCCAGTGAGATGGAAGAAACATCCTGAAGGCCTCCTGACCTTTAGCTGCACTGGGGCAGGGAAGCTATTTCAGACCCTAGCGACAGTTATGTCACTGGTTCTGTTTTCATTCCGATGACAAAATACAAACATTTAAGCTTCTTGAAAATCCTGTGTTTTGGATAAACAAGTTCGGTATTTTCTCCAGTTCACTGGACCGCTGTGTTGTCATGTCACGCACGTATCATCAGCAACTATGAATCACCACGACCAGGAGATCTGAACGCACAGGCTTGACTGGGGGAAAGAACTTCCACAAAGGCATAAACATATTTTTCTGTTTACTGTTCAAACCAGCACTTGTCTGTATTTTTGTTACTGTTCCTCCTACCTGAGTTCTAGCATGATTCCAGCAGCAAACACATCTATATTCCTTCCTCGGGGTAAATGTTAATGCTTTCTAACACTTGCAAGTCGGTATTAAAAGCTGCACAAGACATCTTCTGCACACAAAGGTCTCTTGACACAAGGTGCCTGTATCTCTTCATACAGAAGCCCGAGAAGGCTGGGAGGTGGACTCGGGGAGCGAGGAAAACCACAAGCTCCATGACACAGGGCAATCGCCTAGGAAGCGGGCTAAACCGCAGTGCTGCACCCAATGGAAAGGCAATGCTGGAAGTTCTGTCTTTGCACAACCATTTAATTCCAGCTTTGGCTTCTCCCAGTGCCAGCTTGTTTTGTTTTGTTTTTTTTTTTTAATTTCCAAGATGCAAAGAACAGAAGTAACAGCAGCCCACAAACACATTACACATTCCTCTTGCCATTTTGACTTCATATACGTAGAAGCAGAGCCGTACCGTTAAGATAACCTTACACAGCCGTATCAGTTACCAGTTTGGAACAGTGTCCGAAGCCTCTACAATTAGCAAGCTCTAATTAGGAAATCAAAGGCCATATTTATAAATGGTTGTAGACTATCATGTACAGTCTTAATGTGCATTTGTCCTCTTAAAAATCACAGATGCCATTGAAATATTCCATGTGCTGGAAGTTTTAAGTCGCTGGGTAATACTCCTGGTGTCTTACAGACGGTGTTCAAGCTGGCAATAAGGACAACACAGGCATTTGTTTATACAGCTGGAGTTACTGGAGATTAAAAAACCCTGCATATCGGTTTTCCTCCTAAAACTCAGCAGATGCTTCCTTCAAGGGAGAGTGGATACACAGGTAAGAGAAATAGCTGCTGCTCTGGTTTCAAACAAGAAGAGAAGAGGAAAATTGATTTTCACATACATACACCTCTGAGTATCAGTAAGACTGAGCAACGCTTGGAAGAGTAAATTTGTACATAATCTTTTCTCCAGGATAAACAAAAGAAGAGAGTTACAAGATGGCCTAAAACTGCCTACTGTGACCACTGCCTTCTCTGTGACATACTGCCAAAGCGTGACACCCTGCTGGGTTTACACTTCAGGTGAGGTCTGAGCCCTAAGGCATTGTCACAGCAGCCCAAAGCTTCACACAGGACCATACTGCACCCACCAAGGACATGCCCTGAACCGTGGGCTGGTACCAGATTTACACAGCACAATGCTAATTATCTACACAAAAATAACCCCAAACTTACAACTCCCACAATTTTAATCAGAACATCCAGTGTAAAACCTGTGGGTTTCCAACTGATAGAGGATGTGATCTCTACCAGCGGATAAGCAAAACCAGAACCAGTTCACTGTAACTACTCAGGGGCTTCTTCTTCCTCACGTACTGTTTTATCTATGACTAGTCAGAAATTCTCCTTTTTCCTGCTTTCCCAAGGAACGGAGTTGTTTAAATGATCTGCTTTTTCCAAATGTTAAAAGTCTCCTTTCCTCTGCTTAGGGACGAGGGCTGTTCTCTACAAACTCCCCCGAGTGGCACTATCAAATGTCAAGAATGGTCAACAACCAATTTAAATTTATGCAACTGTAAATCCTTTTCAGGTTGCTCTTTACAACTTGTCTAGCCTCATTTGTTAGTTCTGTCTCATAATGTTATATGCTTGGGGTATTTTTTTGGTTCAGCTGCTGCTTAAGGCACGTTGATACTGAACATTATTTGTGGCTTTGCTCTTTCCTTCTCTTGTGAGATACAGTATCTTCAGTTTAAGGTCTTGAAATTGTGAACCAGGCCAAGAGCCATTACATGCTGCTCCAAAGCAAAAGAAAATCCTGTTCGGTGCAGTGTGCTTGGAGTATTACCCTGTATGTTCTCAATACTTTGAAGAGGAAAGTGCAAAGGAACAGCAACTACTTATTACTAGTATTAACAAGATTTAAAACACTCAGTTTGAAGTAAGGCCAGGCCCTATATCCTGTCTTATTCTCAACATCTTCAACAACAGGGTGTCCTAATACCAGAATCCAGACTTGAACTTTGAGCACCACATCCCAGTGCATCACATCAGTGCCCAGAGTTCATTCATTTAATATTCTTAAAACAGCAGTGAAGCTAACAGCATCACAGATGTGAAAAATAGGAAGTTCTGTTCAGTCTGTTCCACTGGTACTGCACAAAGAAACCGGTAAATGATGGGTGTTAATGCTTTCACAGCCCAGTGAAGGGGTTTGATGGTAAAGGCCCTCTGCCTAGAAAGAAGCCCGGGTTCTCAGGAGGGAAGGTTTCCGGGTCAGCAAAGGGCAGTTCTTCGGCCTGCCTGGCAGAAAAGCACAGGACATAAATCGTTATCGCCAGAGCAGCCCAGCGTCAGGGGAAAAGTGCAAAAACACCGCAGAGAAAGTCTCACTTTGTTTATTAAACGCCGTGCTGATGTAGGCAGAGAAGGTTCAGAGCCTACTAACTCCCCACGACTAGCTTCAACCAAATTTCAAAGTGCTGAAGAACAAATCTAGCCAAACAAATGGCCTTCATATTTGTATTTCGTGAGGTCAATTGTCTTGAGAGCCTTTTTTCAGGATGCCAAAATCCTCCCCCTTCCCCTCATCAAACCAGGATGAAGAACAGGAAGAGAAGATGGAACTGTTTAAGGAAGTAAGTAATAACAAAATCACAAAAAGAAGTTCCAACAACGACCCTGCTTAGATAGGAGTGCAGGTTCTAGGCCTTCCTGACCCATTCCAAAGCACCTGAAGGTACTTCCTGAGCACAAGTACCTCCTTTGTCAGCGGGAACAGGGCATTCCAAGCATAAATTCACAAACAGGAATGACAGGAAGTATTCTGAAAGCTTCCAAAAGCATGCCACAAAGAAACTGCTGCAAAATCAGCACAAAAGGGCAGGAATTCCCATTTGTTTAAAAACCAGTGAAGTGTACACACCTACTACTTTAGCTCTAAATACGTTTCATTTAATAATCTGTATTTCTTTATTTTGCTCTCACATTAGACACAAACACCAGTTTGCAATTTTTAAGGGGTACAATTCAACACGAGGTGAACCTAAAGTGCACTGGATTCAACGTTCACAGGATTCATAATTTTTCTCCTCTGACATCTCAGTCACCTGCGTACAATCCACCGTCAGAAAGCCCCTTTACACTGTGATTTTAATCTCAGCAAATTTCAAATACACGTAAGAATTTTTTAGCTTACCGCTCAAAGAGGTACAAATAACTCTGAGGTCTTGGTTACAAGTTAGTTCCAATCTATACTGTAGATATAACTTCAACCACAGACCTCCCCAAACCTTTAACCTAGAAGAGAGGAAAGAGACGTCGAGGAAAGACAGGTAAAGTCTCTTAGATATAAGTTTGAAATGGACACTAAAAAAAATAGTTCAAGAAACACCACAGAGGTAGCTAAACATACAGAACTAGGAAATATCTAAACTGAAGACATTTTTCAGGAAAACCAGCAGCACTAGATTGCTAACTAAAAACAAACCTAAAGAAAATAAGAAAATGAGGACGTGGTAGAACAGAATCACAGGGAGAGAGAAAACATGACTTCAAGGAGAAATGCCTATGAAAGAACATATCAGTGCTGTCAACACCAACTGTTGAAAAATCGTGGGACTTTAACTACTTTGCTGAACACTTTGCGTATGAAGATCTCAGCAAGAACATGTTTTCAACTTATCTCCAAATTATAAAGAGGAGAATTTCAGCCTCCACTCAAAATAAAGATTCACATGCACCTCTTCCCTTCCAGGCCACTCTTCTCAAAAGCCACCTCGACTGTAAGTGATGCTGAATGATGTAGCACTCACCAACGGCAAGGATACCTGGTGTCACCAGGCAAGGGTTCTGCAGCAAGCAGCCCAAACCACCACAGAACGGGCCAAGGGGAGGAAAAGGGCAGAAGGCAGCATTGCCAGATTCCAGCTAAGACACAGACTTCTACGTTGGAGCTGTGGGTATTGGGCAATTTGTCCTCGATTATCTTGATGAAGAATTTTGATTAAGTGAAACATTCAGAAACAACAATGGAGATGCGCAAGGAAAAAATAATTTAGACAAAGACAATGAAAGTAAAAGGCCTGCCTCAGCATTCTGGAAATGCAGGGAAAAAAAAGGACTGGAAATTACAGAAAGATTAGTGTAGCTCAAGGAAAACACTGAAGGTTTGAAGACAACAGATGGTACAAATAAAAAGAAGCTTAAGGATGAGATGAAAGAAGCTAAGAAAATTTACGGTTCTCTTATTTTTGGCCACTTCATTCTTTTACTGAGAAAAAGCAACAGCAATTCTTGAAAAGATGTACAAAGGTTAAGGACACGGGTCAATATTCTTACTGCAGTTGAACTGAAAGAGGAATTTAAGAGTCCATACTCCATGCTGAGATGAAAGAGAAAAAAAAAATAGAGGGAAAGGGAAACACTTTGGCAGACAAAAGGCTCACCTTTTCTTGTCTCTCCCTACAAATGCATGAGATTGAATACTTACCCGTCACAAAATATGTGTTGAATTTGTTCAAACTATTAAATGCAAAAACATGAAAGCAAATGAGAGACCAAACACACACAAGCAGCTCCTTTATGATTTCCAGTAGCTAAGGGGCCGTGTAGACAAACAGGGGAAAAAAAAGACTTTTTAGAAAGACAATAATGTTGCTACAACTGAGAAAAATACGGCTGTAAAGCCCTACTTTTAGCTTGTTTTAAAAATCTGCCAGATTAAACTAGACTGTCCAACCAACGGAGCTGGAGCTCCATTTCCACTGCACATTGTTTCAGTTCTACACAGCAGCAGCACCGGTTTTCGAGGCCTTCCTCAGCACACACACTCACTGCAGTAATTCTGAACATTAAATTGAGGGATTGGTGTGTGAAATCCTCCCCTCCTGCCTCTCCTCCCTGCAACACCCCAGCACACGCTAACAGTGCTCCTTATCTGGACCTGGCAAATATTTGAGGACTGCAGGCTGAACAGCAGCTGGCAGAGCTGGAGGGCTTTCAGGGAAAATCCAGGTAGATCTGGTCTATCAGCATTCAGCAAAATAAATGAGGATAAATGAGGAAGCCTTAAACCTTGGTGTTTCAGAATTTACTGGCTGACAGCAGTCACTCTTCTGTCACTTCTCATTGAAATGTTTCTGTAGTGAGAAAACCCCACAAAGCCTTGTCAGGCTGTAATTTCACACACAAGGTCAGCAGCCTCAAACACTGATCTTCTTCCAAGCAGGTTTATTTTTCCAGACAGAAGATTTATTTTACTAGAGACTATTTACAACTTTGTTTACAAATAATGACAAACTAACAAGGTATTTCATATTGAAGGTACGTTCTACAGGTTTGAGATGTTTGTTTCAAAATTCTCCTTGAACACAGGTTTTATAGCATACAGAGTGCTCAAACACAGCCAAATTTACTACTTTTAAGGTCACCGTTCTATGGCCAGTATTGTAATCTCAGACTTTTTATTCCACCACCAGATTCACAACAGCACACCACACCAAAGAATAATTCTTCAGTGTCATCACAGACAGAATCAAATATTCCAAAAAAGTAGTAGTTAATGGATTCTTCTTTCTTATGCTGTTCTTCCTTTAGAAAACAAAGCTCCAGTGAAATCCAGGGGGAAAACAGGAATATTTACAACCATATTACAGGCTAAAAGAAAAAAAGAGTCAAGGACTGGGAAGTCAATTTCAGCACTAACTGTAAGCCAATTTGCTAATTACATAAAGCAGCCATTCCTCCCTTTGACTATTTATAATAAATTATTTTAATTATTGAGGTCAAATTAACACAATAAAATTAAATAATAACATGATGACAGTTAAAATACAACAACAACAATAATAAAATAAAATGGCAATGTTATAATTTAGAGCTGTTGGTTATTCTCTGCATCATGAAAATAGTAGATGTCCCCTAATGAAGAAAACGCCTCGCTAGTTAGCAACTGAGTCAACTTGGTGTAGAGGAGTCGCCTATGTGCTTGGCATGACAAAAATCTTGCTTGACCTTACCCCATTTACTTAATAAATAAGTCCTAGTTTAAGTATGTTCTTCCTTTCTGGATATATGCAATCAAATTCTTGATTCTAAGAAACGTGAACACACAGTGTACTTGGATCACAGAAACGTCATTAAAAAGCCCTGTCCCACACAACATAACTCCTTGAAACATGACCCCAACCATCCAGCTTCACCTCTGCACCTATCAAAACCATATTTTTTAAAAAAATCAACAATTACTACTTGCCTGAAGTGTGCCTCCCGTGATTCTGTGACATCCTCTGGAAAAGATCGCTGTTGTGCTCGTAATACCTGTAGTCCTCGTGTACGCGATCATTTAGCTGGCGTCTCCTCTGGGCATCATAAAAGTGATCGTAGTAGTAACAACGGGCACCAGCATCCCCATTTTCCAAAACAGAATTGGCTTCTGTTAAAAAGGACTGGGAGGAAGAGCCATATTCTCTAGGGACATCAGCTAAACTTCTTGCAAGGTAGGAAGGTGCAGACAGTCTGTTGCTTTCACGTCTCATTACTTCATGAGGCGGCCTCTGCACCGGAGTTCGAAGGAAACTCTGGTTTCTGGAAACAATTCCATCTCCACCAGAAGCATATGCAGAAGAGGTCGAGTCAGGAGGACAGATATCAGTTCGTCTTGGAATGGTTGGACCGTGACGGATAAATGAAGGCATCAGATCTGATACACAGCATGAAAGACAAGTAAGAACTCTGGCTGTACTTGCACATAGAGTATTTGGCTAGCCATGATGCTGACTCACACCACGGATCTGAGGAAATTCAAATGTAGAACCCCCTTAAGGCACCTCTAATCCATATGCAAGTGTAATGCTCATGCTGCAGTTTGTACCGGTGCAACAGAAACCATCACACCCTCCCCCAGCAACAAACTATGGCCAGAAGAGAGCAGTTTTACCACTGTAACTGCACCTACAATAAACAAACAAGCAAAAAACCAAACCCAAAACCCATCAAAAAACCCCCAAACCACCCACACTGTACTGTGGCTATGTCAGCCGGGCTTCATACCTCTCTACTAGAAGGGTCAAGAAAATCCAAGTATCCTGGCTACCACTTCATCGGGATCGCTGTCCTTATGAATTCTACCTGAAGACAGTTAACTCCTGCACGCTCACAGGAAACCCCAACAGAGTCAGAAACAGAATTCACACTTTCTCCGCTGATCACAAAGTTCAGCCAGCAAAACGCTGTCATTCTGCACATGTTAAGTTCTCAAATTATCATGAAGATATTTTTTCACTTGCTCCTTTCTAAAGGGGTTTTGCACCCCAACAGTGACACCCATCCATACAACTTCACCGCCTCCCTCCAGGCAGCAATACATTACTCCTCTCCTTCCTATTACTTTCAACATGATATAACTAAGTAGTTTCCCTCCAGGTGAGCGGTCAGAAACTATGACCTTCATTTAGGAGCAGGTTATGCCTATTATTAATAAACACTTACAATTCAGTGTTTATTAATATAAAAATTCAGTGCATCCCAGAAGGTGTCATCAGTAAATTTATAACCATTACAAAGCAGCCATGTAACAGCCAGGCATTACATCCTGGCAAACAGCACGTGTAAAAGGCATTAACCCCTTCGACATGCCTACACCTTAATATGAAAAGAACTTTGTGGGTTTTGGGGTGGTGGTTTGTTTTGGGGTTTTTTTGTTTTTTTGTTTTTTTTAAAGACTAAGTCAAGTTAATCAGACTACTAAATGATTTTGCCTGTTGACTGGGGAACCAGCTGCTCGTGCAGCACAGACTTCCAGAAAAGCTGAGTGGCAGCTCCTGCCAGCAAATCAGTTGTTGCTAGTTGTGATCTCCAAGCTAATCCTGGAATGATAGCACAATGCCTTTCAGACTCAGGTGGTCTGTAAAGATTAAGAAAAAGAAACCTTAAGTGCACTTTAGTGGGTATTTACTAGTGTTTTGTACGGTCCCGGCAAAGCCAGGGCTGGGGCGTTAGCGCCAGGTTAACCACCCAAAGATCTCTGCATCCCAGGTACGCAGCGGTGACCCCATCCAGTTGATTCCCGGGTTTAGAACGGGAGCCCTCGCTTCCGCGGGGATTTTATGCAACCGCCCCGTACAGTTATCTCATTTTCAAAGCACACACCTTTTGGCAGTGCACGCAGCCTAGATCGGGAAAGCAACCACTGACCGCTGGAAAGAGAGAGACGATCTGGTCCGCTCATCCGAACGACAGTTTGGGGAAGCAAACCCCCCCGCCTGTTGAAAACCGAACAACAGCGGCCCAGGAAATAAAAACCGACGAAGTTTGCTTTCCGTGACCACCTGGTGGTACGCTGTGCGTAGGGCTCCCTTTGAAACTCGGCCTCCCTTTCAGGTTTAACCTCCCTCCGTCAGCTCCCAGCTCTCCCCACCGGACTCTCCCCCGCTCCCC